AAGTTCCTGGAACTTAGAACGCAGAAATTCCAAATTCCTGAATTTTGCAGATCACTTGGTTTCAAAGAGCCTTTAGAGTTCTGAAAATGTTACTATTATGTATTTAAACACTATGCTCTAGCTGTTTCTCACAGTCACAGGTTAACAATCGAGATGCCACTATACATGTATACTGGAATTGAACAATTAAGTATATGGATAGCAGAGTGTGGGAGCCAGGTCTCTCACTGTTGGATTGGGAGGCTATAGAAAAACAAAGGTAAAAATTTAGAATGAACCATTGGTAATGGATTGGAGTTGACGACATCAGTATAAGCTCATGTTCAGGTTAATAAAGATATGGATGATTACAGATAGAAAATTTCTAGATATGTGTATACATGGGTCAGTGTACATACATATATTTCTTTGCTCTGTCAGTTGAGATAACCTATAAGCAACAATGGCCAGAAGCAACAAGCATACTTAATGTTCAGGTCTTGGTTTCTAACAAAATTCTCTAGTAAAAGGAATCAGTACACATTAAATAACTGGTTGCTTATAGAAGTGGATAAAAAATATGAGTAAATTAGATCATTTTGTAGTGCTAGAAGATAAGGATGTGCTAAAAAAAATTAAAAAATGGGATCCCTGGGTGGCGCAGCGGTTTGGTGCCTGCCTTTGGCCCAGGATCGAGTCCCGCGTCGGGCTCCCTGCATGGAGCCTGCTTCTCCCTCTGCCTGTGTCTCTGCCTCTCTCTCTCTCTGTGTGACTATCATGAATAAATAAATAAAATCTTTAAAAAAATTAAAAAATATGAGTAAATTAGATCATTTTGTAGTGCTAGAAGATAAGGATGTGCTAAAAAAAATTGATAAGGGCATGTGAAAAGGACTCAAGTGTCAACCCAAAAGAGTGTCCAATGGTCAAAGCTGGAACAACTGAGAAACAAAATAAATTTGTATTGGATTTATAACTCAAAGTATATAATAAATATCCAAGGATCCCTACTAAAACAAATAAATAATTTCATGAATTAGTATATGAGTGAGAAAAGACAAATCTTTCATGCAAAGAATTCCAAATAATTTATGTAGATACTCACCCTCAAGGATGTGGTGCATAATGCACCAATGTTGAAGTGTAGGCTTCACATAGTGACTTCCTTCCAAAAAGTACAGCATGGAGATGGGGACAGGAAAGGTACAGAGGAGAAATCTGGCAAACACCATTTCAGCCAGATGATCAATGTTAGCATCAAGAGTGTAAGTCATGCTAATATAATGTGATGCAAAGGGCAGTTTACCTGTATAATCTTCTTCCCCCCAAACCCATAAACTCAGTTTAATCATGAGGAAAATATCAGAAAAATCTGAACTGTGGGACATACTCTTCAAAACCTTCAAGGTCATAGGAAACAAGGGAAGTCTGAGAAATTGTCACAACGAAGAGAAGCCTCAGGACGTATGACTATTAAATGTGATGTGCTATCCTTAATAGGATCCTAAAACAGAATAAAGAAATTAGGTGAAACTCAGGCAATCTGAATAAAGTTCAGATTTTAATTAAAAATAATAATGTATCAATATTGCTTTATTACTTGTAACAAATGTACCATACTAATGAAAGATGTTAATAATAGAGACAACTAGATATGGGTTATAGTGAAACTCTCTGTACTATCTCCACAATTTTCTATAAATCTAAAACAGTTCTAAAGTTAAAAATTATTTAAGAAGATCTTATACCATATGATTTTAATCATGTGGAATTTAAAAAACAAAACAGATGAACATATGTGAGGCAGGGGAAAGAGAGGGAAACAAACCATAAGGGACTCTTAAAGACAGAACAAACAGGGTTGATGGAAGGAGGTGGGTGGGGGATGGGCTAGATGGATGATGGATATTAAAGAGGGCACTTGTTATGATAAGCACTCAGTGTTGTACGCAAGTGATGAATAATTGACTTCTACTGCTGAAACCAATATTGCACTGTATGTTAACTAACTAGAATTTAAATAAAAATTTTAAATAGGAAAAAATCAATGCAAATAAGTTTTATAAGCCTAAAACACCCACCTCATTTCAAAACCCTTTTTTCTTATCATAATTCACTCCACCTAATCTACCCAACCAGTTCACATTTTTCATAGTTTTTCCTGAATTGTTCAATCATAATTATCAATCATCTGCAGATGGACAGATTCCACTGCAGCAAATCCCAGAATATTATCCAACCTTATCATACAAGGCGATTTTCCATACCTTAGGCAACTGTCCACATAATGGTCCTTTGATAGCCTGAGCACAGTAAATTCAATTAATTCCAATTGTTACCTAAGATAGTTCCTTTCCATCTTGCTGTTTTTTAGCAAAGTTATATGTGGTTTTGGTGCAGTATTGGATTGTACTCTATTTGGATCCCTGTACTCTATGAAGTACTCTAAATGCATTTAGACATATTTCCTAAAGAATATGCAAAGAATTGGAAGTATTTTATCATTATTTAGAGGGGAGAGGTCAATAAGAATAGGGTTGGAAATGTTTCGTAACAATAAACAATAAAGCGTGAACAAAGTCCCACATTATTTTGAATGGAAAAAATTGAATAAAGGCTTAAGGATGTCAGGGATACCAATATTTAGAATCTTAACTTGATCATCTTAGTTAATACAACAGTATGATTGATAACCTTTATTTATTAGTAGATTATATGCTCAATGCAAAAGATCCTGAGGTCTGAGGAACACTGTTCAGTTACGAACTTTGGAAAAGCAGACTCAGGATCAATTCTCTGGAGAAAATGGGTAAGCCCTTTGACTCTACTGTGAAATACCACATCAACTACTCAATTATAAGCTTAAACTCACTTGTTATAGAAATTCACAATCTGTTTTACAGCTACATAGAAGTTACCTTTAACAGACTGGTCCTAGGTATTTCCTAGGGCTTTATCAATTAATTTACAGTGGGAAAAAATAATTTACAGTGGGAACTTGCATACTAAAAGTCAGAGGAAAGCCTATAATAAAATAACAATAGTATTAAACAATATATATCATTTGAAAAATACACAGCCCTTGAATTTATGAGGGTTTGTGGTCTGGAAATACACTATAAGATGAAGCCAGGTAAATCAAATCTGAGATATTATAGAAAGTGTTTGAATAGAAAAATTGTGTGCCTAATGTTATATGTCAATGGCCACAAGCACAATTTACTTACTGTTTAAGCAACTGTAAATGATATACTATGAGTGGTCTAAAGTTTTCTGAAATAAAACATGAAATTGGATAAATACTGCATCCAATCATGTACAATTTTCTTTAATTTAGTTTTACAATATGATCCCTGGGAGAATGGGTATGCAGATCTATAAGGCCTCAATGAAATATCTGCAGAGAGAATATGACCCATTTATGTTTCATCTGTAAAATATGAACGATGTGTAGAACTAAGTTATTAATAAGATCCCTTTTTGGTACTAGAATTTTTCTATTTAGTCAGAATGGATGGTCTTGGGAGGTAGTAACCTAAAGTATTCACGCAGGGACTGGTTTGAATATCTACCAAGGAAAAGGGGTTCAATATGAAGACAACCTTTAGATCAGAGGCTGAATTTAAAGATAAATGAAAGAAAGCCCTCCTTGCCCCCAGGTAGAGGAAGTATGCCATGTGGAGGTAGATCTGAGGTCCAGGGCCTGGAACAGTTTTATGCTCAGAGACTGTTATGAAACAGTCTAGTTGGGTAACGAAACATGTATATTATGTAACCTTCCATAACAGCTACTGAAATGCTTAAGTGGTCATAGCACTTGCAGGACATCAAATGGCTTTTTGAGTCAGTTCTCCCTAAAATCCTTTTATAATCCATTTGAAATACAGGAATTCACGGTAATCATGCCATGGAATGAACACATTTGGTTTTCTTCCACCCCTTACCTCTGTATAACATGGCCCCAGCATGTGATTTCTCATCATGCAATATGCTTATAGCAGTTGCTTTATGTAAACAAAAGAGTAAACAGTACAGTGCAACCTCTCCAGACATTCTCAACAGGCTGCCATTTGAATGGGGCCTGTGATTACAGTACTTTTGATATCCTATCCAAATGAATGTCCCCTCTATTGTCAGAATGATCCTGCTTTTGGTTGTTCCTATTCTTGCCCAACATAGTCTCCTGGAACACTTTTCTCCCTACTGGTGTGTCACTGTGCTTTGAATATTTATTTGTTCCAATTTAACATAATAGAGACGGTAACTGTGCAGCCAAATTGTTATCCTGAAGGAAGAGGAAGAAAAGAGGAGGAGAAATAAGAGTAGTAGATCATTTCATTCTTTTTGATGGACTTGAGAAGAAGCACCAGCACTGTCTGAAAACTAAACTGTAAGAACAAATAGGATTAGATTTATAAAACCTTTGAGTTGGTCAGCTTATTCACTGAGAATGTGCCCTATATTCAGGACACAAATCCCTATAAATCTTACCAACCAACTAAATTGTTATGTCTTTTTTTCTGTTTAGGAACTTAAAAAAATAGTCATTTTAAGACACTACCAACCACTTTTAAGTACTGGTTCAAAAAAAAAAAGGATAAGAATTCTAGAAAATAAGAGAAAAAAATGGAATAAAAATGAGTGCATGTTTGTTTACAGCCTTGAGTTTGATTCTTGTTTTGTTTTGGTAGGAAACTGTCTTATCATAGAGCAAAGGTGGGGTCGGGGAGTGGAGGGCAACTATGAGTTATGCACTGGAATTCAACCCATAGAAGGCTGAAAAATCAGGAGACTGGACAGTGGAGAGATGAATGTGGAATATGAGGGACCCCCATGGAATGGAAGATCATCTATCTTTCCCAGTATACTGTCTCATCAACCTGACTTAGTGAGTTGCTCTTACTTCATTTCCGAGGCAAGCTGAAGTCAAAGAAGAAAAGATGGTTAATGATCTCATTGTGCATGCATGCACATGCACAAAGAAAAGACCAGTGCAGCTCCTCTAGTGCAGTCTATGCTGCTCACATGGTGTCATGGCGCCTGCGGTGCAAGGATAGGTGCTCAGAGCGAGAAAAGCTACGGTTGCAGCCTGTGCACTGGAAGGGCTTGATGCCAGTGTGCTTGCGAAAATGGCGGGTGAGCTCATCTGAACGAGCAAATTTCCAGGAGCAGCCATCCCAGGTGCATTTATAAGGCTTCTCTCCTAAACGGGGGAATATGACAAAATGAAAGGAGTCAGAGAAGAGATGCTTGGATACTGGAAAGAGAACAGAGTATATAACCCTTTATCAAGGCTTTGGTCAAAACTTGTGGCAATCACTTTGAAGAAATGCTCTCTACCCTTATAGTAATACTAAAGAGAAGCCAACATGGCAGAAAGGAAACCATGTAGGTGCTGGTTGAAACAGACCTTTGCGTGTATTCTGGCTCTACTACATACTGGCTGTGTGACCTTAAATACGCCACTACTCCCTGGTAGTCTGTTTTCTCATCTCTAAAGGGGGAAAAATATCTCACAGGATGCTTGAAACATCTTTTTATTTATTTATTTTTATCACAGTAAGCAATAAAACTTAGATCCAGGTCAGCCCCGGTGGCTCAGCGGTTTAGCGCCACCTTCAGCCCAGAGCCTGATCCTGGAGACCAGGGATCCAGTCCCATGTTGGGCTCCAAGCATGGAGCCTGCTTCTCCCTCCTCCTGTCTCTCTCTCTCTCTCTCTCTCTGCGCCTCTCATGAATAAAAAAATAAAGTCTTAAAAAAAACTTGAATCCAAACCCAGGCCTCTGTTACTTTTCACTATACCACATTATAGTAACCATTACTTCTAATAGCTCCTAATCAATACTCAAAAATAAAACCATATACATAGAAAGAATGTGATTTACTAGAATGGGCTCTCTGTTAAGGCTATAGGACTTCTTCTATGTAAGGTCAGACACTCAGGGGAATGGAATGGAATTAGAAAAAGCTCATAAAAAAGAAAGAAAAAGCTCATCAAATTTGAAATAGCTCCATCCTTAGTATCTTTAGGTTGCATCTGATTTATGTATGAAATATGTATGCTTCAGATAGAAAGCTAAATGCAATAAAGGTAACATAAAAAACATTAACACAGTATGACCCCATTATGTTATATAGATCACACATCACATTTGGGATAAAGGTAATATCAATATTCTTAAGGGTAATTTATGAGAAATGATTACCAGTGAATGAATATGTGGAAAATGAGGATCAAAGAAGCAGAAAAATAACATTTCCTTTTTTACCACCTTTCTGTATTGTTTGAATGTTTTAAAATTCATGATATTGTATCTTATAATAAAAATTTTAAAATTAAAATTTTAAAATAGATAAAAATCTCCCTACAGGGAGATTGACGGTTGGAAGTTGGTGATGAAGTAGGAGGACCCTAGGCTCACTCTGTCCAATGAATACAACTGGATAACCATCAAAACATGCTAAATAGCCTAGAAATTGACCTGAGGACTGGTAGAAAAAAATGTCCTTAACTAAAGTTAGAGAAGAGACCACATTGAAGAAGGTAGAAAGTGAGAAGAGAGTTTGAGAGAGAAACGAATTGTGGCTGCTGTGGTGGAGAGGGATCCATGGCTATGGAGAAGGGCAAAAGTCTGACTAACACACAGGGGAGCACACAGGGAAAACAAATCCCCACAGCAATTGTCTTGGAAAACTAGAGGGATGGAATTTCCTGAGTTTTGCAACAAGCAGGGCTTAAAACCTGGAGTTTTAAAGGTCAGTGGACTTGGATGGCATAGAGCCTAGTGGGCACTGGGGCTGCTCCTAGAAAGAAGGCAGGCAAACAACCAATGGACATACAGCACAGAAACAATGACTAGAAGAGTGCCTAGGGCACAGACTGGGGAGGTTATTTACTTATCTCAGAGCCTATCCCAGAGTGGCAGTGTTTATAGAGAGACCCCTCTGGGAACAAAGGAACTGGCTGGTACCATTTCCTTCTCCTATCCCTCAACATAAGCACAAGGCCATCTGTGAGAACCAGCACAGTGCTTATACTCTGTACTTAACTGGCTTGTACCAAACCCCACCACCCCATGCTTTGGTGGAATCATCCCTTTCAGTCTAGCTTGCCTTAGTCCTAGCATAGTGGACCCCTTATCCCCAGAAGACTGCCTCAAAACCCTGCTCACATTGTGTCTCCCATTTTGTGAGTTTTGCAAAGACTTGGTTCCAGTAGCAGTGGTGACAGGTCTCATTTCACAATCAGTCCAGAGACAGATAGTTAAAAAGTACCATGTTCAAGCCATGAACCAAACACTCCCCACAACAGGTAAGAGAGCCTCTACAGACAACTGGCCTAAGGAATAAAATGGCCAGGACAAACAGCAGAGAACACACAGCACATAATAGAGACACTCTAGGAAGTGTGATGACCTAGGGAACATAGAACATCACAGATCAGAGCACTATACGGGACCTGTTCTTCATAAGGCCATTACCTTCAAGAACAAGAGACATAGCTGACTTTCCTAATACAGAGAACAGACACAGAGACCTAGACAAAATGAGAAGACAGAGAAATTTATCCCAAATGAAAGGACAGGATAAGCCCACAGGTAGATATTTAAGCAAAACAGATATAAGTAACATGCCTGATAAGGAATTTAAAATAACAATCATAAGGATACTCACTGTGCTTGAGGAAAAAGTGGAAGATATAAGTGAGACCCATAACACAGAGATAAGGAATAACATAGCAGAGATAAGGGCTCAATACATGAAATGAGAAACATGCTTGATGGAAAGAACTGCAGGCTGGAAGAAGCAGAGGAACAAAATAGTGACTTAGAATATAGAGTAATAGATAGTAATCAAGCTGAACAAAAGAGAGCAAAAAGGAATTATATAAAACGAGAATAGACTTAGGGAGCTCAGTGACTACATTAGACATAATAACATTCATATAATAGGAGTTCCCAGAAGAAGAGAGAGAAAAGGAACAGAAACTTTATTTGAAGAAATAACAGCTGAAAACTTCCCTAATTTGGGAAGAAAACAGCTATCCAGATCAAGGAGACACAAAGAACTTCCATCAAAATCAATAAAGCAGTCAGATTGAACACCAATAAAAAATAAATTTATTATTTAAAAAATCAATAAAGGAGATCCACACCAAAACAAATGGTAATTATATTTGCAAAATTTAGTTATAAAGAAACATTCTTAAAGCAGCAAGACAAAAGAGGACAGTAAGTAACAAGGACAAATCCATAAGACTAGCAGAAGATTTTTCAACAGAAACTTTGCAAGTCAGAGGGCATGATATATTCAAACTGCTGATGGTGAAAATATGTAAACAGAGATGCTCTGTGGGGAACCAGCTGCAGAGCTTATCTGAGAACTGAATCCCATAGGCTTTTGCACACTGGGGATACATGAGGTCCTGAATTGACACCCTGACTGTTGACCACATTATTCTCCAAATACAGCTCGTCCACTCCCCCTCCTTGAGCCGATAGCCTATTCTTTTACCATTTTTTATTGGAGTTCAATTTGCCAACATATGGCATAATACCCAGTGCTGATCCCACCAAGTGCCCCCCTCAGTGCCCATCACCCAGTCACCCCAACCCCCCGCCCACTTCCCTTTCCACTACCCCTTGTTCATTTCCCAGAGTTAGGTGTCTCTCATGTTTTGTCACCCTCACTGATAGTTTCGCTCATATTCTCTCCTTTCCCCTTTATTCCCTTTCACTATTTTTTATATTCCCCAAATGAATGAGACCATATAATGTTTGTCCTTCTCCGATTGACTTATTTCACTCAGCATAATACTCTTTTACCATTTGAAGTAAACACATTTTTCTCTGCTTCCCAAAGTTAATCATTCCTATAGCCAAACTGCTAGCTCTCTTAATAAAAACTGGAGGAGACAAAACCTTGGGGTGCAAGTCCAAGTCCTAGTCCAAATCCAAGTCTTGGTCCCCCTGTCCCCCAGACTAAAATTCAGTGAGACTCTGAGTCTTTCTTCATATTGTCACCTCCAACTATCCTGGCTCCATGGCATCTAATGAGCAAGGCTATCATTTAGAATAGAAGGAAAGATAAAGCATTTCCCAGACAAACAAAAGCTAAAAAGTTCCTGACCACTAAACTAATTCTGCAAGAAATATTAAAGGGTATACTTTGAGTGGAAAAGAGAGACTCAGAAGGATAGCCTGAAGATAGGAAACACAAAAGCAATAACAATGAGTACTTTTTTTTTAAAATGAGGCAATGAACTGACAAAATAAAAGGATATAATATATGATAAAACCTACCCAAAATGTGGGGAGGAAAGGAGTGACAAATAGGTTCAAACTTAAATGACAATCAACTTAATATAGATATGCAGAAAAGGTTATACATAAACCTAATGGTGACTATATATCAAAACCCATTGGTAAGTTGGGGGAAGATGGGAGAGGAGTAGGAGGACCCTAGGCTTACCTCATCCCATGAACACAACCAGATAACCATCAAATCATCCTAAAAACCCAGAAATAGACCTTAAGACTGTCAGAAAAACTCCACAATATATGAAGGGAGAGAGGAGGCAACATCAAAGAAGGTAGAAAGTATGGGGACATGGTTTAGGGGAGAAATGGATTCCAGGAGCTGTGGAGAGGAGGGAACCATGGTTGCAGAGCAGGTGTGAGAGAGAGAGGAGTACACTGGCGAACATGCAAGAGTGTTTCCCAAAGACGCTGTCTTGGAAAAAAGGAGAGGGGTTGCAACTCGTGAGTTCTTGCAATCAGTGGAGCTTAACGCATGAGTTTTAAAGGACATCAGGCTTGGATGGTATAGAGCTGAGAAGGCACTGCACTGCTCCAGGAGAATAGGCAGATAAATAACCCAGAGAGACATAGCATGGAAACCATAATCTGAAGAGTGCCTGTGGCACATGGAGAGGAGATAACTCACTCTTCTTGGAGTATGTCCCTCAGAGGCAGCATTCTCAGAGACATCTCTCTGGGCAAAAGGAGTTGGCTGATGCCATTTCCCTTTTCTGCCCTGGCAGCATAAACAGAGCCTCCTGTGGGAAGCAGTGCAGTACTGACACAGGCTGCCTAACTAGCATACACCAGGTCTTACACCCCTACACTCTGGTGGGACAGCCCTTTGGAGTCATGCTTGTCTGAGAGCCAGTGCAGCAGACTCCCACCTCCAGAACACCAACA